AATGCTCGTCTCGAGCAGTTCGATGGTCCAGCGGTTGTTGATTCCATCTTCTCACATTCGTCCCTCACATTCATCCTTCGCTCATTCACTCGTTCTAGCTTGGGAGGCCGGTGCTTCTATGTTACCGGTTCCTGCACCATGCGCTATTCCATTTTTTTCCGTTTCGGAGGGGTTCGACCCCTCCACAGGGTCAAATCCTTGTCTTGTCGTAGGCTGACAGAAGATCCGACTATTCGGTTCGCGATCTTCACGCTGACAATCTCGTAGAAGGTCTTACGAGTTCTCCCTCCTAGGTGCGATCGCTGTCCTGATCTACACCCTCCGATGGGGTCCTTGGTTGGCACCTTTTTCTTCTGGCATAGCGGCCGTCTGCCGCCTATGTTCTTTATTCCTGTTCTTCCGTTCCAGGTTTCTTGTTCAGCATTGACCCTGATTGAATATTTCTTTACGGGATCTCCCTTGCGCCGTGTCATACCTGCACGTCTAGTCATATTTCTGTCGGCAGCCAATTCGTGCCTCGGTCCTCAATTTCTTTGGGTCGAAATTTCCTTGAAGATATTTCTCTTGCGCCATGCCACTGTTGCACAGCGAGACATCTTCCTGCAGGCGGCAGCCAACTTCATCCGGGATCCACAATCTCATCGGGTCAGTTTCTTTGGCTCTCCACGTCGCCCTGCAGCTTGTTTCTGGCCCCTATGCCCTCTTCCGTTCTTTGACCGGTTTCACTACGGCATCTTCGTTGGGCACTTCTCGTTGTTCTGCCGCCTCAGGTTTCCTGTCCGATGAGGTCGGCTGTTCCTCTTCTAGACGTTCCTCCATCTTTTGGCAGGTCATCGTCTCTTCTTCTTCGTTGGGAATCTTCTGTCGCTTCACTACATCCTCTCGTTCTCTTGGATTTGTCTGCGTTGTATCTTGGCAGGCTGTCGTCTCTTCCTGCCAGGCATTCATATTGGCCCTTATTTCTTTCGACATTTCAATTATTAGTTGAATGTCTTGCTCCCCCATTTTTTTTTTCTTTTTGGCAGGATAACACTCGATGTACTCGTAAATTCAATACTTCTTCCTAGATCGAGGAGTGTTCAAGCTCGTAAACCACTTCCGACACCAAATTGTCACGTGTTGGGTATATGTCACGCGACAAATAACTTCATGCCGTTCTGGGTCTAGCGAATTTATTGAACACTCGCTCTCACAATTACACAATTCAACATTACACACTTTACAGTTCCACAATTACTGCCATCGGCAGTATCACAATTACTTCTTAATTACACTGAGCTACGGTTTGTATCATTTTATACTTAGCAGGAAACAAGGGTTGCACAACAAAGTAAGCAGAATGGAACTGAATTGCACATAAATCAAAGAATTTGCAGCAGAATATAAACTATCGTGCAGAAAATTATACGATCTTTTTATGTCTTCATTTGATTTCAAACAGATATTTTTATTTCCTTAAGGGGCGCTCAAATTTTGGCTTGTGGAAGCCGATGAGTGTAAACTCCCTTGCTCGTTACCAGTATTGGCTGTACAGTGAAATTGGCATATAAATCTTCAGAGCTGTTTAAACGTCTGTGAGAGGTGTTAATATGTTCCAATTTGCCTGTCATGAATCACAAGTAAGCAAATCTATTTAACTTTTGTGCGACAGTAATGTTCTCAATTGTATAACCAAATGCAATCTGGAAATTGAGTTCCGAACGGAACTCTTAACGTCTATTCTTCTATTTTTTTCCCCCTTGGCACTACAGCTCCAGTGGGCCTAGTCCTATCTCCATGAACTTCTCCGTTCGGTTAGGTTTTTCTAGATCTTAGACATTCGGTAGGACTCCTTGGGCGGGTGATCAGCTCGTCGCAAGGCCTCTACCTGTACACAAACACAGAAAAACGCGCACACACAAACTAAACATCCATGCCCTGAGTGGGATTCGAACCCAAGATTCCGGTTTCCAAGCGAGCGAAGACAGTACATGCCTAAGACAGCTCGGCTACCGTGACCGGCATATTTTTCTATTACAGAGATTAATTTAAGTCCAGTAGAACTTGTGTTGATGTTAATATCCCTATTCTTGTGGTATTTTATTGTTGTGAGAAACTTACGAGTTACAGATTTGTCTACGTTAAATTCGTCAAATTGCTGAGTTACAAAAAAGACTGAATTCATAATGCCTAACGCCAATATTTCATTAATAACGAACAACAAATATAAAACAACAGGAACTTTTCGTATGGCCGTCATGTTGTCATTTTTAATTTCCGGAAAATGACCTGAACAAAATTAGTAAATTTCTCAAACATCCGTTACCCTGCACCATACAGATATGCGCAGTTAAAGAGACGTTGTACAAATCCCGCCGCGTAAGGTCACACTTCTGCCTGGTTCTTGTTAGCGAACAAAATAAAAGTATATGGAGGTTATTACCTTTGTTAACCGGTTCACGGCTCTGCGCTTCATGGCGACCGGTGCACCGCCGGCTGTGAGGCGCATATCTCATGTAACCAGCGAATTTTAACTACTTTATTCCGAAAGTTATCGGCCAACCGGCATACTGATTCATCGGCAAAATTCGTATGCGCCTAGCAGCCGGCGGTGGTCCGGTCGCCGCAAAGCGCAGGGCCACGAACCCGTCAACAAAGGTAAGAACCTCCCTGCATATCTGAGTGTCCTCAAGGGGCATGTCGTGCATACCAAGTTCCTTGGCTCAACAGTTGAAAGGGGGTGGGAGGAACACACACAGAGCTTAGTGACCACATAACCGCAATTTTATTTCCAAGAAAATGGAAAAATGTCCATAATACGTAAGATTTTATGTTTTCACTGCGGTGACTATGAATAATGCCGTATTCTTGGATGAGGCGCAGTGTACATCTTCACGCTGGTTGCTTGCTCGTTGATTTTTCTACCCTTAAGATGGAGGCGATATGTTCCTCCGAAACGTCGGTTCACATAAGGTCTACACGGCGTCACATCATAGAATACGGCATTCTTCTGTCTAAAATGTTTAATCGTTTTGCATTTTTCTGTATAGTTCAGCTAGTGCTGAGTTCAAGAATTACGGAGTTGTATCTCCGTTCTCCCATACGTCTTCATGGCTTGGTACTTACTTAATTAAGCACGGGGTTAATTTTACTTTTATTTTACCTCTAAATTACATATAAGGGTTTTGCAAAGCTCTCAGAACAAACATTTATTTTCATAAGCAGGTTTAACTAATTATGTTTCTTGTGGCGTTGGAAACCCAACCTTCTCTTCTTTAATATCTGTTATGAGATCATGGAATGAATTTTCAGGTTCCATAAAAGGCGGAAAGTTACTTGATCAGCTGAGCGACTACCAGGATCTCAAATAGGTTCCTAGCATATAACTGGGTGAAATGTAAAGCTGTTCTTATGCTTAACTAAGCACTACGCCATGAAGACGTATGGGGAATGGATGTATAGATCCACATTTCCTTGAGCCCGGCACTAGCTGGAATGGCCAGCTTCACGCCCCTGCCGCTTTACCCCCGGAGAAAGAGCCCTCGGTACCCATTGGATAGGAGGTTGGATGGACCCCAGAGCCGGTCTGGACGGTATTCTTGACCATATAGGGACTCGAACTTCAGCCCGTAGCCAGTCGCTATACCGACTACGCCACAGCGGCTCCTATACTGCTGGGTACAAAATGAATTGTTCGTGAGGAGTCTTACCTTGTAGCCCAGGTACGCAAGCAGCAACGCTTCTGTGAGGCTGATTACGGCGAGAATAACCTGTATGATCCATAACGCCAGGGAGCGGTTCACCCAGAGAATTGCCTCCCAGTTGATGATTGGGTTCTCTTGGAATTCTTCTTCTGTCAAATTACTCGATATGATGTATGCAGATTTATTCCCAGGCAAGCATCCATAGCTGCATCAACAAATGTGTATATTAATAATTATTCAGTACACGGTGGCCATAAATGATTGATACAATTTTAATTTGTTATACCAAGGAAACTTGCAACCGCAACGCAACTGCAATTTCCGAGAATTGTTATCAGCCTTGAGTTGAACACGTTACTGAATGGAGCAACGCAACGTTGCAAAGCAGTTTCCTCAATATCCGCTACTCCATTCAGTAACATGTGTTCAACTCAAGGCTGATAATAGTTCTCGGAAATTGCGGTTGCGTTGCAATTGCCAGTTTCCTTGGTGTGTCCTCGCCCTTACAGCTATACAGTTGTAACTCGTGTCATTTGAATGACAAACATCCTCTGAAGATGCTCATCGTGAGCTCCATTCGTGACCCGACAAATATCCAGTCTGTATTCAGCTAATCACATACTCTTTCTAACATGTTCCTCTCAATTGACTCGATTACTGCGGTAATTTTCGACTTAAATTCATCAATATCTAGAGGTGGTACAAACATTTGCTCCTTTACATAACTCCACAGAAAGAAGTCACATGACCCGCTGAACACTTATACACGAATTTGTTTTCGCGTACCCAATCTCGCAACAGCGCTTCTTTATGGGAGACAACATTTTTGATACTTACGGAGCCTGTCGGTAAAGATAGATAATATGGAGATGTACCGCCAATTTTGAAATATCTGAGAGTTTGATTTCTCTCTGATACCGGTTTTATGTGGGTATAGTTTCCTCGTATTTTATGCACGAAAATGTATCAATAATTTACGGACATTCTGTACTTCAACCTAGCAAGTTTGTGTCATTTGTCACAGACTACATGTATGTGAGACACTGTTTTGCATTGTCTCTACACAATAAGAATGCAATTTCCTCAAATTAATTAATGATAAAAATAATAATATTGGAAATTGATAACGTAAAGATTTTACTGGGCAACTTTAAATAATAATAGACCTAATTAACGCCATAGAACAGGATTATTCCAAGATTCATGATACCGTAGCATTTAGATCCGCTGATAGGTAACGACCACGGAACAAGCAACTATACAACAGCCGTTGCTAAGTAACGGCTCCGCATACAAGAATGTTTCCACGATAAAAAGAGAACATAAGAATAATGTATTCTACATGGTCCGTGCCGGGATGTTATAAGCAGGAATAGTTACCTGTTTTATGTGCGATGCGTACATTTGGCAAAGGATAAGCCTAGTCATAGGAGAAAAAACCCATCCTCTTTTATCTCATGACCACCTATATTGTAGCTTGTCTTTGAACCAAACCTATTCCTGAACTTACATATTTCAGCCCTGAAGATGGAAGCAGAATATTCCTTCGAAACGTAGGTTACTGCCCACAAAACTACATGGCATCGCATTCTATAAACCACTATCTTAGCATCAAACTTAATCCCCAACACAAACGTATACGCTTTACATGCATTGAACAAAATGTGAGTGTATGAAACACAGTTCAGTAAATGTCACATAGGTTCGCGGACCGCTGTTGGAATAACATAGCTGTAAATGTTACTCACCAGGTGGAGTACGTGGGATCAAGATCGGTGACCACCCGAATAATGTACAGGAGACATGTGAGTAGCTTGAACACCAAATTGGCAATGCGGATACGAAGACCTGAAACAAGTTCGAAACACACGCAACATGTCAGAAATGCACACACAGTGTTAGTCAGTAACCTGTAGGGAGAGGTCGCGCCATAGCTCAAGCAGTTAGCTGCTGGCTTCCCACCGCGGCGGCCCGGTCGAACCCGGGTCTGATCAAGTGGGATTTGTGGTGGACAAAGTGGCGCTGGGGCAGGTTTTCTCAGAGTACTTCGGTTTCCCCTGCCAATCTTCATTGCACCAATTGCTCCACAATCACCCTCCCCTATCATCTGGGCCTGGTATAATAGGCCAGAAGTGGCCGCAGTACAAGGACTTAGTCCCACCCCGCTAGCAATAAAAAAAACCTGTAGGGAGACATAGGCACAGATGAGATAATAATATTGAAATAGATTTTAAAGAAATGGGATGGAAGGTGTGGACCTGAATCATTTGGTTCAAGATAGAGACCAGTGGAAGTCTCTTGTGAACACGGCAATGAACTTTCGGATTAGATAAAAGACGGAGAGATTCTTAACTGGATGAGTGACTAACAGCTTCAGAAGAAGGCCCTTGGTCCGTGTAGTTAGTTAAAGTGGGCTCTTGTGAACACGATAATGAACTATAAAAAAAATAAACTCCGTGGCTTGACTCCGCAAGCGACCTATACTGACCGAGCGAGCACCGATTGTCAACGAAGTTAGTGCCAATTTTAGCGGATAGAGGGCGTCGCGTGATCAACGTAACGAATCCCCACGGTCGTTAAACTCGGTTTTCTAGACCGGAGCCGCTATTTTCTTGAAACAGCTCTTCGGTTGTCCTCACGAGGCTGAGTGGGCCCTGTTCCAGACTCACTACTACTGAGAAATTCTGGTAGTGCCGGGAATCGAGCCCGGGACCTCAGGATCTGTAGCCAGGAACTCTGGCCACTAGACCTCAGAGGCGGCCAAATGAACCATAAGAGGCAGAAGGATTCTACTTCATGGATGTAGTTAATATTTATGACATGAGCAGATCTAAAATATACTGACAGGCACTATCTTCTAGAATGTGACACCGTGTAGTTTGGTTGAAATTTTCTTACTAACATACTCGCCCCCATCTTCAGTGTCGAGGAATGAGCTAAGCAGGCAAGTAATAAGACGAGTTTCATAGGTTGGTACTAATATTTCGGAAGACATCTTCAGGGTTTCCTGAAGATGGACGTTAGTACCCATACATCACACTGTACGTTGTCGTTACCTGGACCACTACAATATGAATCTTCTCCGCTAAGAAAATCTCAAAATTTTTCTTAGCGATACGTGTGGTAGGGAAGCAAAACATGTTCCCGATCCTGCGGACACACGTAAAAAGAAAGAGAACAAGAAGGGGGGGGGACTTGTTCCACCTTAATGTAGATTGCATCGAATCAGGAAATCGTTTCCGTCACGCAACCTTCAAGTACACGCCACCAACACGTGGACTACTAGAAAATGGTTGACAAGACACTGTTCTTAAACGAATTTACTTCAGAATGACCGGGTTTTTTTACTTTGTCCATCGTCCGGTATTCTAATAACTAGAGAAAACAGCGTCTCGAAAGCTGGGTCTGTTTTTGCCCTCAGGTGAAGGTAGAGACACTTTGTTGGGTCCCTTATAAGGGGCTAACCTCAATCACTGGGCCACTAGATACAGTTTCTGCCCTCAGGTGAAGGCGGAGACACTCTGTTGTGTCCATTAGAAGGAGCTAACCTCAATCACTGGGCCACTACATTCAGTTTGTCCTCAGGTGAAGGTGGAGTCACTCTGTTGGGTCCCTTTGAATGCGCTAACCTCAATCACTGGGCCACTAGTTCTAGTTTCCGTCCTCAGGTGAAGGTGGAGTCACTCTGTTGGGTCCCTTTGAAGGCGCTAACCTCAATCACTGGGCCACTAGTTCTAGTTTCCGTCGTCAGGTGAGGGGGGAGACACTGTTGGGTCCCTTTGAAGGCGCTAACCTCAATCACTGGGCCACTAGTTCTAGTTTCCGTCCTCAGGTGAAGGTGGAGTCACTCTGTTGGGTCCCTTTGAAGGCGCTAACCTCAATCACTGGGCCACTAGTTTCAGATTCCGTCCTCAGATGAAGGGGGAGACACTCTGTTGGGTCACTTTGAAGGGGCTAACCTCAATCACTGGGCCACTAGATCCAGTTTCCGTCCTCAGGTGAAAGTGGAAACACTCTGGGTTTCTTTGAAGGCTAACCTCAATCACTAGGCCACTAGTTCCAGTTTCTGAAACGCTGTTTTCTCTAGTTTTTGTAATAACGGACGATGGATAAAATCTAGAACGCCAGTAATTCTGAATGTTATATAGCATCGTCAGAACCCTTTAGAATCTACTGAAGGTATTTCAATTTCAAAACAACTAGACATTAGTAGACTGTTGAGCTATTTCATGACGACTGCTTATCAGATGTAGGGTATCTAATACTGAAATAAATGGTAGAATAATTACGAACCGTATATCAAGACTGGTTATTGAGAAAACTGAAGCAATACACATTTTGGGTAATTAATCGTATCGAATCCTGATATATCGATTGTTATTGATCGTCTTTCGCGAGATTTAAGATTCTCATTATGGTAAATTTTAGGACTACGATCCTAACCCTTCTCACTCCATCATTTCTATTATAATTTTTAAGCTTTATAGAAGAACAATAAGACGACAATATCGTTATTAATTAAGTGAATACTGAAATTTGTGTTTAATCTCATACATGTTCGTAAAAAAAAATTAAAGTGGAAATACATAACTTAAAGCTGCATTAAATGCATATCAGAGGCACAGATATTACTGATGTATGTGCAATAATTTTCTGAAAATTTCAAGCTAATTTTTTTTACTCATTTACGAGTATATATGATTACTTAACGATGTTGTCAGTAGAGTCAGTAGAGTCCAATAATAAAAGATTAATGAACTGAAGATGACGTGGAAGGAATCGATCTTGACCTAATTTAAGATACCATAAATATTACTCGGATATATTGAGGAAAATCGCGAAAACCTCAGCGAGGATACCAGGTGTCCGGCTGGGAATCGAACCGAACAGCTCCCGAATACAAGTCAGACGAATTGCCACTAGAGCTAATTTGCTTGACTCCTTCTCTTTACTTAACACTATATTCTGCGGACACTCCAGTAATGCTTCACATGCCTCAAAGGCTCGCATATAGCCATATTTGAGCCACAAAAGGTGGGGAACATGGCCTCAAAGATTCAAGCATTTCTAGCCTCAGGAACAAATAGAATCTTCAGGAATAATTAATAACTATCACTTAGGTATTGTACAGCCTGGATAGCTCAGTTGTTATAACTACGGCCTGGATGGCCGTGGTTCGATTCCCAGTAAAAGTAAGGAATTTCTTTACTGGAGCATGAAGCTGACCCTTAACCTCCAACTAGTTCAGAGGTCAAGATAACGTGGACTTACACATACACTCCTCCACAAGTCTTCATGACGTATTGTGGCATATTTGTTCAAAGCAACTGTGGAGCCAGAGAAATGGCCGTTGCTAGCGAATGGCTCTGAAACAACATTCATTTCTAGGCAACGACCACGAATCCAAAACGGAAGAACGTCAGTTGCTAGGCAGCAGTTATTAAAAGTAATATTTGAACGGCAACAAATGAACAGCAATAGAACAACGGTGTTTTCTTTGCGGTCCTTTCCAAGAAGTTATAACAAGGATGATTTTGGGTAACCTGTCAGATGCAAGTTTGCTCAGTTGAAAATCCGGCTGTGAAGAGAACAATTTATGTGTGTTGTTGCTGCAGTTATATTTGGAGTGTGTAATGCAGTGAGACTATTATAGTTCGTGTGTTAAATCCGTTAATAGGAAACGACTAGTGGAGAGTTTTAAGAGACTGAGAACACTAATTTGTGTAGATAAGCGACAGTGTTATAGTTATTTGTAATTACGATTTGTAAGTGGTCAATAAGCCGGTCACGGTAGCCGAGCGGTCTAAGGCGTGCACTGTCTCCGCTCGCTCGGAAGCCGGGATCGTGGGCATGGATGTTTGTGTGCGTTTTTCTGTGTGTGTGTGTACAGGTAGAGTCCTTGCGACGAGCTGATCACCGGCCCAAGGAGTCCTACAGAATGTGTAAGATCTAGAAAAACCGAAGTGAACGGAGAAGTTCATGGAGGTATGCCTAGGCCCACTGGGGCTGTAGTACCAAGGAAAAAGAAAGTGGTCAATAAATCAAATCTCTAATCCAAAACCCCGTTGAGAATAAACGTAAAAACATTTTAAAATGGTCTACTAATACTACCTGCATATGTAAATTCTTTTATCATTTTAAAAGAATACAAAAACACCTCTTCAGTTCATATTTCTCTAACTAAGAAACATTTACTTGATCCACGCAAACGTTTATCGCCAACAATTATTTACCCTGACAGTTCCATGACGAAGCCAAGTGTCTTTCAACAATCATTACCGAAATTGCTATTATCCTACCTGGGGATTTTCTCCAAAACAGTTTAATGCACTATCCCGGCACGCATCTGGAGAGACTGACTAAAACCACGAAAATCTCAGTCAGGCTAGTTGGTTTTCTAGCCGAGTTTCGAACCGAGCACCTAGAATAGAAGTCAGAACTGTTACCTTTTTGAGTCAACTTTCTGCTTTCACTATAGTCAAGAACATGAGGGCACTCATGAAATGTCCACCTAAGCCAATAATGGTGGACGTCAGATAAACGCGATACGCATAGAAAAGCGCGAGGCAATTACTATGAGCCATCGCGCTTAATGTACAAACTGAAAACATCGGCACGATATCGAACTACTTTTGCTGTTGTCGTTTGTACACTGAATCTCTGTCCGTCCTTATATGAATAGTAGCACGGCCAAGGTCATTTGACTCACTTTCTCTTCGCTGGAGAATAATATTGCCTATATCAACTAACCAACTCCATGAAGCAGGGCCCTTGAGAAGCTCAGTTACTCAGAAAATTCCCAGAATTATCCTTTGGCTCTACAGCCCCAATTTGGCCTAGGCCTACCT